GGCAGTGACTGGGTCACCCTGGCTGGGGGAAGCCCACATTCTGCTGTCGCCTTCCTCCCGGGCAGGAGCCTGGGCTTGAGTACGGGAGGGGTCAGGGCTGGGTGCATACTCCGACGGCACTGTGTGATGGGCAAGAAGGCAGGTGTCTCGGCCCTAGTCTGCCAGTCTACTCTGAGTCTGTGTGCCACTCGGCAGAGGCCTCCTACCACCACCACCCAGGAATCAAGAATGCCCCAGCATGGAGTTTGCAATCCCTTGGGAATTGCCCATTCGCCATGGGTTGGAGCAGTGAGCCCACAAGAAGACTGACTTCCTCATCCCCACCCAGGGCCTTGCCTTTTCATTTTGCACTGGGCCCCACAAATCATGCAGCCAGCCCTGGTGATAGTAATGGATTGTTTACTCCATGAATGAATCCATGGAATAAAATAGGAATCTGTGAATCATACTGACACATCATTTCGGCGGTATTCCTACCAAAAACGTATCTGTCTAATCATAAGGAAGCATTAAACAAACCCAAATTAAGGGACATTTTACAAAACAGATAAGTATTTAAAAATGTCAAGGTCATGAAAGGCAATGACTGAGGAACCAGAATAAATGAAACCAAAGAGACGTAACAACTAAATTCAAACGTGATCCTGATTAGTTCCCGGACCAGAAAAAGAATTTGTTTTTTGCTCTAAAGGAAAGTAATGAGACTTGGTAGAATTTAGATAAAATCTGAGATTAGATAATAATATTGTATCAATCTCAACTTCCTGATGTTGATTATTATACCATAATTATGAAAGAGAATATCCTTGTTTTTAGGAATTGCACAGAAATATTTAGGGGTGAAAGGGCATCATGTGCACAACTTATTCTCAAAGGGTTTAGAGAAACAATAATGTGTGTGTATATACATACATAAATACATATATATGGAGAGAGAGAGATTAAAGCAAACGTAGTAAAATGTTAGTATTTGTGGAATCTGGTATCTGAAAATTCTTTGTATTATTTTTGCACCTTTTCTTTAAGTCTGAAATTATTTCAAAATAAGTTAAAAAAAAAAAAAAACCTTTGTACAAGTCTCTTCAGAAAATCCCATAGGATCAAGTCTAGCGGCCCACTTGAAAATCTATCATTGTCTTGGCTTTCCTTCTTTAACTCTTTTACTCCCCCTATCCTGCCCTCCTGACCTTGGGGATTGAAAGGATTTGTGATGAGACTGCAGAAACGACCACCTGATTATGTTACCTGGGAAGGCCCTGCTGATACTCCTTTCACTGAGACACTGGTGAGGACACACGCACTGACGATGCCACGAGCATCTCTACAAAGCCTAACGGTGGTTGTCCTTTATGGGCTGAGACTGACGTAGAAGATGCTGCTCCAACAGGGCTCCCTACTATCAACTAGAAATAGAACAATTCCCAAATAGCAAGGCAAGATGGCAGGCCATAACTACTGTAATGGGAAGCAAGGCTGGAGTGCAGCCAGTGTCTTGACCCACAGGGATCTGTGGAGATGGCTAATAGATCATGGTGCTCTGAAGGGAAAGATAGATGGGGTATTTCTTTTTATTTTTGGGAGAGGAGAGGGGTTTCTTGACTTGTATATTTTTCTTAACAGGAAATCAAGAACTGAGGAACAGAAGGCTGTCAGTCTCCCCACAATGGAAATCATGGTCTCTCATCAGTTTCCTGATTTAAGTCATTTTATAGACTTAGAGCCAATGATTGAAGAAGCTGTATTTACCTAAGAAAAAACTTTTTAATGCCACAAGAATATACAATAAACATTCCTCTGCTCCTTTGAAGAGACCCAAGGCCATTAACCAGGATAAATGTGCATTGGGGAAAGAGGTCTACTCAGACTTCGATGACTGCTGGATACATGATCTGAGCTGACACTGGTACAGGAAGCTTAATGTCCCCATGGTCCTTCATTTAGGGTAGAAGCTCATGGAGGTGAAAGGATAAATGCAGTCTGGCCCAAATTTGTCTTACAGAGCCCACTCCATCGTTCCCCCACCCCCATCCCAAGTCCATGACTGAGATAAATATATTAGTAACTGGCAGAGAGACCTCACATTGACCTTATAAGAAGAGCCCTGTCTGTCTGCTCAGGCTGCTATAACAGAATACCATCAAATGGATGTCTTAAATGACAGATATTCATTTCTCACAGTTCTAAAGGCTGGCGTGGCTAAGACCAAGGAGCTGGCAGATTTGGTGTCTGATGAGAAGACCCTCTTCCTGGTTTGCAGGCAGCCACCTTCTCACATGGCAAACACAGAGATTATCTCATAATCTTTTCTTATACGGGCACTGATGCCATTCATAGACTCCACTCTTGTGACCTAATTATCTCCCAAAGGCCCCACCTCCAAATACCTCACATTGGGGATTAGGGCTTCAACACATGAATTGGAGGCGGGGGACACATTCAGTCCATATCAAATCCTCATTGTAGAAAGGACCAACTGAAAGCCCCTGAATCTGCTTTTCTCAGCTAAGATAGTAAATTAGAGGCAATTCATGCAAAGAATTGTAGACATTAATGCCACCTTCAAAGATTTCAAGGATACAGGGGTAGGGCATCTCTATATCCCCATTCAATCCACCTCTCTGGACCCTGCAAAAACTAGAGGAAAAAGCTCTGGAGATGGATAGTGATGATGGTTACACAACAATGTGAATGTACTTAATGGTGCTGAATTGTACTCATAAATGGTAAATTTTATGTTATGTATATTTTACCACACACAAAAAAAACCCTAAATGGATGTGGCAGAAAACAACAGACTACCTCAACTGCAGCTGCTATTCTGGATACAGTATCTTTTTTTGTTTTTGATACCTTTGAGATATAATTCTGACACAATAAAGTTCACCCTTTTAAAGTGAATGCTTCAGTGGTTTTTAATATATTCACAAAGTTGTCATTGATCACATTTTCATCACTCTAAAAAGAAACTCTATATCCATTGGCAGTCACTCCCTCTCCCTGCTTTCCATTAGTTCCCAGAAGCTACTAATCTACTTTGTCTCTATGCTTTGCCTATTCTGGACATGTCATATAAATGAAATCACACAATATGTGGTCTCTTGTGCCCACTTCTTTACGTTTTCAAAGTTTATTCATGCTATAGCATGTATCTATTTCAATCCTTGTTACAGCTGAGTAATATTCCACCATGTGGACATACCACAACTTGTTTATCCATTCATCAGACGGTAGACATCTGGGTTATTTCCACCTTATGGCTATTATAACAACGATGCTATGAACATTCATGTACAAATATTTGTGTGGATATATGTTTTCACTTCTCTTGGATATATATATGCCTAGAAGTAGAATTGCTGGGCCATATGGTGACACTATGTTTAACTTTTTGAGCAACTGCCACACTGTTCCACAGCAGCTGCACTGTTGTACATTCCCACCAGCAGTGTATGAGGGTTTTAATTTCTCCATATCCTTGCCGACTACTCATTATTTTCTGTCTTTTTTACTGTAGTCATCCTCGTATATGTGAAGTGGTATCTCATTGTGACTTTAATTTGAATGGCTGCAGTATCTTTACTGGAAAAAAGAAAAATCAACTAACTCATCCTCTGGCACTTGGCATGTGACTCCTAACCAACGCATCCTTCTCAAAAAGAGGATCAAAAGCAGTTCAATTTGCCTTGATGTTAGACAGGATTATCACTGGTTGGCTATAACAGGATTCTGTATTCCTGCCCATCGTCATGTGACTTGACTACACTCTGTGGGAAGAGTCTGTTTCTGCCCTTAACTTTGGGCTTGATCATGACATGCTCTAAACCAAAAGAAAATGAGAAGACATGACATTTGCCACAATTGAGCAGAAGCTTACACTTCCATGTTTCCTCTCAGTCTCTCTCTCAATCCTATACTCTGTCATAACCCAGATAGAGGCTGCTCCATGAGGCTGGGTCCCACAATGAGAAGACACACAGAATAGAACCTCAGTCTACCTGTAGTCAAGCAAAGCCAAGCCTGTCACATAGTAGATATTTGGTTCATGAATTAAAATTTTTATATATATTTTTATGTGCAGAGAAGAAAAACAGTCTCAAAAGCTCACAATAAACTGTTAAAGGTGCTGATTAAACCAATGTATACATCAATAATTTTCACTTTGTTCTTTTCTTTATTGTTTGAAATTTTTAATGAACGTGGACTACTTTTATAACTTTTTATTCACTTTTTTTTTAAACTACCCATGCTGGTCTCCATTCAACATAGACAGCTTAGATTAAGCTATAATGAATTTACTTTTCAAGAAAAAAACTCAATAATAAAAATGAGTTGATTTAAATAAAGCACTTTATACATATGTGATTACACATAAAGCTGTCATTGAAAATACAAGCTTAAGATTGTTAGGGTAAAAAGTAGTATGGGTTCTTAGCAATTGCAAAAAACCCTTTCACTATATGAGTAACAGCTTCATAACAAATTAACCCCTCCCTTACCACCATTATTAATGCAAATCTACTTAATGGGTTAAATAGATGTCATATTTGCCACCCTATATACACTAGCTTCTCTAAAACCTCAATTTGATCTGAGCCACCCCAATTCTCCATTTACGCCTCCACAATGCCTGGGATAAGATAGAGCTGGGGCTGAAAGACTGCTAAAGTATATTAAATCAGACTAAGTATAAGCTAATTGAGGGGCATTCTGTCTGAGGTGGTTCGCTTAGTTCACTTCATCTACAAACACTACTGTAAACACTCTTCCCAGCTATTTTATAAATACAGTCTAGACTGTCACCCCATGACACTGTATATGCTGCATTCCCAGAAAAATAAACCTCGACCAGGAAACAAAATATTCCTGAAGACATTCGTTTTTGCTTAAAAAAAATTACTAATCTGTCCCGGCGAAAAGATATAAAATGGCAAATAAAAGTAAACATTAAAATTGAAGAGTGCTAGTTTTAAAAATCATTTAAAATCATCACCTATGATTTATTTATGTTTAAAATATATTTGCGAAGTTTTTACTAGATTATTTATAGTGAATGTATAATTTCAACGGAACTTTGAGCAATTACAGTTCAACTCCATGTAGTACTAACTTTTCTTCTCTTCTGATTCTTGTGCCAATTTCAACTTTTCTTTTAGTTCCTTCTGATCTCTGGAATACTGTTCAAATATTGGTTGATAAATATATATTCCTCCAGCAATTCCAAGGATGCTAGCAAAAAGCAGTTGCGGAAGAGTCAATCTCCCAAACATTTTTTCAACAAACTGCACAGTGCAAAGGTGGCTTTGAAAAATTACACTCCACATCCAGGAAATCTCTTCAGATCTGTGTACAGAGAAAATGGGAAACAAAGCAATAACTTAGCACAATATTCTCTTTTAAGATTTCACATCACTACTTTCCTCAGGAGTGAAAAGTATTTTTGTCATAATATGTAAATATCACTTATTAATTTAACTAAAATAGGAATATAAATATTTAGGGAGTATGCAAACTGAGGGTTAGGGGATGGTGTAAGACAAAGCTAAATCCTCTTCTATTACAGAATATTCTCAATGGTTGTAAATAGATAACTTAAAAAATGGCAAAAGTGGGGCCAGCCCAGTGGCACAAGCGGTTAAGTGGGCGCGCTCCGCTGTGGTGGCCCAGGGTTCGCCGGTTCGGATCCCGGGTGCGCAGTAACGCACCACTTGGCAAGCCATGCTGTAGCGGCGTCCCATATAAAGTGGAGGAAGATGGGCACGGATGTTAGCCCAGGGCCAGTCTTCCTCAGCAAAAATAGGAGGATTGGCAGATGTTAGCTCAGGGCCAGTCTTCCTCACAAAAAAAAAAAAAAAAAGGCAAAAGTGGAGCAGGGGAAGGGCATACTCTTTATGCCTTTAAAAGCATACCATAAAACTAACTACTTAAAGAAACAGCCAAACAAAGCTGAAAGTGATTGCCAATCCGATCTGGAAGTAGAAGGAGAATTGTTACTTTTCATTATTAACCCTTCTGTACTATTTCATGCTTTTTGGCAATATGTATGACAAAAACAATTTTTTTAAACAGGCTAAAAGATTTTATGAGTTCCCTTTGATGCTTTAGTAGGTACAAGCAGACATCAAATACAAATCATCTGTCATCCATTTTTGACAGAAATATAAGGGAGATGTGGCTGGTTTTACTTTCAACAACTGAGGAGTTAAGTAAGACTAGTGCTTCTTGGAAAGTTATACCACATGCCAACATCTTAGTCTCTGGAGAAACACTAGGTAGCTGTGTATGAAGGAGGAACGCACTGTGAAGGATCTACAGATTTTCTTTATTGTAACAATGCTTCATGGTCTCCTAGACCAGCCCTTGAGATCACAAAAGTCATTAGGAGCAGCAGTGGTACTAGAAACTACCTTGCCTCCAATATCGCGAAAATGTAATTTAATCTGGTAAAGAAAGGCTTATTTTCTCCTAGACTCGACGGTTAACTAGATAAATGACAACGTCACCACGCATGCTTTGGTTCAACGGCTGCTAAGCGTAAAAAAAAAAACAAAAGCAAAAAAGGAGCCATTTGCAAGTCAGCTCTTTGGAAAACAGACAAACCACGCGGAAATGGGAACGCTCCCCTTCTGCCACTAGCTCGCTAAGTGACCCTCAGCAAGTTATTTAACCTTTTTGGGCCTCATTTTCCACATCGGTACAACTAAATCATCCCTACCCTGCCTAGTTCGTGCAACAAACAGTTACTGTGAGACTACGCAAACAGCGAAACGCTGCACAAACACTCACGTTTCTAACTGTCATTACCGTTACCACTACCACTCAAACACCTCCGACCGTTCAGCTCTCGCCCGCGTCGCTGCCCCCGCCTCCCGCTTGCCCCCGCAGACGTGAGATCCGCTCCCTCTCGCAGAGTACGTGGACCCCGGGCGCAGAGACCACGAAGCCCGAGACGGGCAGCAATCCCGAGAGGGGGAGATGCCGAAGGATAAAAGCGCAGGCGAGCCCGCGTCAAGGCGTAACAGTGCCGGCCAACCGGCAGCTCTTAGCCGCAGAGAAGACCTTCGGCGGTTGGCACGACCAAGTTGCCCTTTCCCGGCTACCTTCGCGCCTGCGAGCGACGGCTGCTCGCAGAGGCCAAACTTAGTGAGCGGAAGAGTAACGCGCGCGATTTCAGCTTCTGTCGGCGGGAGAAGGTGATGGCGGGAGATCCTCAGGGGACCTCGAAGCAGATGCAGAATGGAGCGAGAGGGCGGCGACGGCAGACTCTTTTTCCGCGGTCTCCAGAACCGCTCCCACGAAAAGATGAAGCTGCGAAAGAGAAAGTCCTCTTTGTACCACAGCCCCCGGAAGAGCCCTGGGCGCCGCGGAGGTGAGTGCGGAGGTGGGGGAAGCGTGGGGGAAGCCGCGGGCTCTGAGCGAGGGCTCCATCTGCTGGGCAGGGCTGCCAAGAAATCGCAGTGCGCTCGAGACAGGATTCTCCATCCCTGCCGCTGGCCCACTCTATGTGCCGCATTACTTGATGCTGTCCTCCCCGCGGCCGTGAGAAGCCAGTAGGCATGATGTGGCCATCCCCATTTTAGAGAGGGGCACCCAAGCCCGGAGTTACCCAAGGTTTCGCAGCTACAGAGGGGCTGGCTCCTGGAGTGGGACCAGGTCTGACTCCTGCCGCATTTCTTCTTCCCACTCTCCCCTCTGCGTTCTCTTTGGTCCTGATGTGATGTTGACAGGAGAAAAATCACCCCAGCAAGTGGGATTTTGATCTGTCGGGGGGTTAAGTAAAAATGGACTCCTCGTTCATTCAATAAATTTTTATTGCGCTCCTTTTATGTGCCAAGCACGGTGTAAGCGGTATAAAAAGAATGGCTGCTTCTCCTTCTGGAAACCTGAGAACAGGAAAGAGAAGAATCATTTTGCTAAATGAAAAGTGAGGAAGGGAGAGAGGATTGTGGTGGGGGAAAAGGAGAGGCAGCTGGGCCCGAGCTCGCTCGCTTCCTTTGCCTAACCTACTCTTTGTTAGAAGTTGGATCCCATCAGGTCAAGAACAGTAACGACGGTAAATTACCGTACTTGTCACAGATGTACAGTTGAACTTTTAGATATTAAAGATCAGTTGTTCAAGGGTCACTTCTGAGTACTGTTTCTTCTGCCTAAGTCCTCCGAGTAAAGGGGGAAAAAGAAAAGAAGAGCAAGGTTTTCTGGCAGGAGATATAGTTCAGTTGGGAGGTTTCTTTATGTGTTTTTGGAAGATGAAAGTTTAGATGGGGGAGGTACGTGGTATTGAATGTACCAATTGAGAAACGTTGAACATGTGTTCTTGGAGAATAAGGAAGGAGAGTGGCAGGAACCCAGAAATGATAGCAAAGACTCACAGTGGATCAGGGGCAGGTTGCAAACTCAAATACTCACGAGGCCAGACAGGCAAGGCTAAATAAGTAAAGCACCCTATATTTCAGTACCAGCCAGTTATTGCCAGTTCAGCTCTGTGTTGCCAGATCTTAGTTTTGAAATGCCGCAATGCAGATTTTAATATAAAATTTGATTTTTAAATTTTGGCATCTAAATTCAAATTTTAAAAAAACACACTGTATTCAGCCTACAGGCTGTCCATTTGTGGTTAAGAGCAGGGCTTTGGAGTCAGCAGACAGACCTGGTTTGGAATCCTTTTTAGTCATTTACAACCTTTTTGACTTTGGGCAAGGGAATTTAACTTCTGAGCCTCAGTTTCCTCATATGTAAAAATGGACTAATAATACCTACCCCTTAGCATTGTTTTTGAGAATTAAATGAGGTAAGGCATGTAAAAGAATGAACTTAGTGCTTGGCAATATAGTGAGCATCAGTAAGGTCTATTTAAAAACATACAGAGGACCATTTTTTATGCCACTGTTTGGCACATATACAAAGAGTTGCTTCCTAAGTTAGTGATTTCTTAGCTGGTTTCTTTCATTAGATACACATATAGGATAACCTAATTAGCCTAAGGCCTTAGTTAACCCAATCTCTTTTTCGATATTTATCTTAATATTCTCTTTATACAATAAGTTGCAAGAAAGATTGGTCAAATGGAAGGAGTGGTAATCACCCAGTGATGAGGCTCTGGCCTTTGTATAACTTTTGGCCCAGGTCTGCTCTGAGAGTAGTGTGGAGGGGCCCGAGTTCACTCCTGTGCCTTAACAGAGGCGGAGCAAGGGGCCACCCAGAACAGCAGATTTTAGTTCTGCAAGTGAAACTTGCCTAACTTTTGTGCCACAGTTACCTGTTTTGTTTTGTTTTTCAGATCTTCTTGGTGAAAGCATTTATCTGGTCTTGTTTACCATAGCATTACGAATATGTAACTGCTTTTTAGTCCAGACAAGTTTCGTTCCAGATGAATATTGGCAGTCTCTTGAAGTTGCACATCACATGGTTTTCAAATATCCTTTGTAGTTTCTTTCTCAGACTAGGGTATTCATCTTAGGAATTGTGTCAGTTACTATTACATATTTTAAATCAATTTTCCATATTTTCTCCAAATAATTTTAACTTAGAGTACTTTATTATTTCATGCTAATACTTCTTCTATATCTTTCTTTGATGTTAATGTATTTGACTTAACCTTTAACTAGCATATATTCCCACAGTGCTCAGTACTGTGGAGGATATAGATGAGGTAAAAAACATACTCCTGCCTTGAAGAAGTTTAGGGTTTAGTTGGGCGATTTGCATTTTTAATTCAAATATCAGGTATAAAATGATGTGTTTTTAAGCTGCTTTGTCAAAAAATAGTTTTATACATGGAAATAAAAATAGGTTTTGTTTCAATGCTATTTAACATTAGTCCTTAATATTACTAATTATGGTTATTTGACCTGGGAATGGACAGAAAGATTGAGGGGTTACACTTACCCCTTAATCTTTGCAAGCATTTATAAGATTTTACATCTTCTGGGGAAAGATAGTGTTCAGTTGCTGGTAAGTTTAAATAAAAGTAATCAAAATGTTGTTAAAAGTAAATTCATTCCATCCTTTCTTAAAGGCTAACATATATTAACTAAATGACATTATTGATATCATGAAGTTTGGTTTTAAAAGGCTACTGTTGCTAAACTCTGACCATATCTGGGAAGCCCATGGTTCTAAAGACATACTGTGATGTGTAACTCTTCGATATGTGCTGAAACACAAGACTAAGCATGAAAGTGTTCTGCTGTGAGCAATCCTTTAAAGAATGCAGATTTTCAGAATGACTACATTTTATACTAATTATTTGGACTTGAGAAGTATACTTCCTTCATGAAACAGTCACTTGAGAGCAGTGTTGTATCTTGTTTTTTTAACTTGTGAACAGAAGACCATGTTAGATGAGCTTATGAAAACTAAATACACATATATAAACCCAATCAGGATTTAGTGTTAAAATCAAAACTTAGAAAAAATTAACTTGACAAAAAATTTAATGACATGCACAATCACTGTGCTATGTAGTAATTAGGCATCAATAATAAGTATGGTTGTAATTCCTAGATCATGAATTTCTGGGGTCAGTTGTCAGGAGAGGGTACAGAGGAAGAACTAATGGTGCAAAAGTTTCTGTAACTTCACTCTTAAGATCTTTTAACCTATCATCAAATTGGACTTAGAAGTTTGGGCCTGGGCCAGCCCCATGGCTTAGCGGTTAAGTGTGCGCGCTCTGCTACTGGCGGCCCGGGTTCGGATCCCGGGCGCTCACCGACGCACCGCTTGTCTGGCCATGCTGTGGCCACGTCCCACATACAGCAACAGAAGGATGTGCAACTATGACATACAACTATCTACTGGGGCTTTGGGGGGAAAAAAAGGAGGAGGATTGGCAATAGATGTTAGCTCAGAGCCGGTCTTCCTCAGCAAAAGGAGGAGGATTAGCATGGATGCTAGCTCAATGATCTTCCTCACAAAAAAAAAAAAAAAAGATGTTTGGGCCTTCCCCATTTTCTGTTAGGGAAGTGGCCCTGAAATGGCTCAGAATTCAAAAGGCAGTCCAAATTCTGGGGAGTTTTTTGAAGTCTGGAAAGACATTGTGGTTCTGGAGTGGTTTTTTTAAGGCAGGATTGTACTCTCTCCTTTGCAATGATATTTGATTCCCTCACTGTTGAGAAACTGATGCTTCACTTGGGAAGATCATAGGGAAGGAGAATTTAGAGCAGTAGCAGAATTTCTCCCATTGACACAGGTAGAAGTTGGGAGCTGTGTACACTTTTCTCCTCTCAGGGCTACCTACCAGCTTCTAAATTATGCAGGATATCCATAATAAAACAGTACCTATCTCATAGGATTGTTAGGAAGACTGAATAAGCTGATATATATAAAGGATACCTAGCACACAGTACTGTAAATGTTTCATTTAAAAATACCTATTGTTAGCTAAGACTTGGAAACAACCTAAGTGCCCATCAGTGGATGAAGGGATAAAGAAGATGTGGTATATATACACAATGGAATACTACTTAGCCATAAAAAAGATGAAATCTTGTCATTTGCAACAACATGGATGGACCTTGAGGGTATTATGCTAAGCAAAATAAGTCAGATGGAGAAAGTCAAATACTGTATGATTTCACTCATAAGTGGAAGATAACAACAAACAAACACATATATACAGAGATTAGATTGGTGGCCATCAGAGGAGAGGGGGGAGGGAGAAGGACAAAAGGGTAATAGGGCACATGTGTACAGTGACAGATGGTAATTAGCCTTGGGGTGGTGAACATGATATAGTCAACACAGAAACTGAAATATAATGATGTACACCTGAATTATAAACCCGTGTTATCTCAAAAAATCAATATACACAAATCAATTGTATTGCTGTATACCAGCAACCAACAGTTAATGCAATTGTATACACACATACCATTTAAAATAGCATAAAACTATAAATTACCTAGGAATAAATGAAATAGATTTTTTATAAACTTTTAAGGAAAAATAAATGAATAAAATACCTATTGTTATGCTAATGAAAATAACTAAATGTGCTTCTAAAATAGAGCCTTAACACAATGAAATGACTCACTGGCTATTTACAGAGAGAGAGAATGAGAATAGTAAAAACTACCTTGGGTAGTTCCATGAAAAATTATGTAATTTTTGTAGAAAAACAGGTATTTTTGCAGAATAATAATACATTATGTCTATTTTTTTACTAAGAATGGCTGTGGATCAGCTTGTTGATTTCTTATGATAATTCAGTGTGAACCAATAGACGTTTTTAAAATCTTTTTTTTTTTATTATGAAGATTTGGATTCCTCGACTTGTCCAAGCACTTATGTCTGCTGTAGCAGACATGAGGCTTTACTCATTAATGAAGCAACTAGAAAGTCATCAAGTGGCAAGATGGGTGGTAAGTCGTAAACACTTTGGAAACTATATGCCAGCTGCTTCATTCCTGTGGGCATAAGCACATGGAACAATATCTATTCCCAGAACAGTTTCAGAAAATAATTCATACAGCTTTATACAGGTACTTCCATAATTAAGAACAGCAAAATGCAAGTGGTGCATGCCTTCTCTCTCCTGATTGAGCCCTGGGCACTAGAAGCCACTGATACCCTCAAACCCTGTGAGAGGCTGAACCCTAGGAGACAGCCTTTGGAAGCCCCTTCACTCCTCAAAACTGTCAGAGTCTCTGCCTCACTTTCCATAAAATTCAGTAGGAATAGTTCTAAATTATTGCCTGCCTCACAAATCCCCTCAGCTATTTACAACCCTTGTTCACTATTCCTCTAGCTACCTGAGACTCAACCTGAGAAATATCTTTTCCCTGAAGCACTCTTTCACCTCTGGCTAGAATGTTTGAAGGAGCTGGACTCTGTCAGGGAGAGAATGTGGTGTAGAAGACTGTCTTTTGTCATTTGGCTTATTTCACAGTGGGGAGATAGATTCCTGATCTCCCATGCAAATCTTGAATGGATTTTCCCGTTTAAGCCAAATCCTGAAGAAATTGGATTCTGTACTACTATTGTTACTTCACTTGGGCTCTTTTCTAAATTAAATAAGCTTATATGAGCCAGCCTAGAAATATTATTACCTTTTTTATATTGTTTCTATTGGAAAATATGTTCCAAATTCCACACAACCAATTTACCAGCACATTTCTGGAATATAACTTATTAATATTTATTAATAAATATTAACAATATATTAATTATTAACAGGACATATTTCTACAGGTAGTGTGTTGATTTGCATTAAAGAGACAGATTGGTTTATCGATTGAGTTCTTGCTAATTGATTCAAGGATAAAGTCCTTCTCCTTATTTTGTGGTTATAAATACTGCTGATGGCTCAAACTAAAATGGCAAAGACATTATGCCTTTGAAATCCTTCTTCCAAAGTAGCAGCACTAGGTTTTTCTAGTTTAGGAAAAACCTTTAACTCCACAAAAATTGGGAACATTTTTTAAAGACTGTATTTGAAGAGATAGGAAGCTAGTACATGTTTAACACCCTTGCATCAACTAACAAGTTTCTTTTAAGACATTTGTTTTATAGACTTAATGATGCTTCTTTTCCATGTTCTTCCAAAAACTGGTTTACAGTCACTTAACAAGGGGGATACGTTCTGAGAAATGCGTTAGGCGATTTTGTCGTTATGTGTACGTCATAGAGTGTACTTACACAAACCTAGATGGTATATAGCCTACTACACACCTAGGCTGTATGGTACTAATCTTCTGGGACCATCTTCCTATATGCGGTCTGTCGTTAACCAAAACATCGTGACTGTATTAGTCAATTTCCAAGTTAAAACTTAATGATGTCTCCTGATAGTCACGTTTTTCTCTCTCCTGTGTTGTCTTAGTTTTTCATTAAGAAATAGGGCAACATTCCAAACCAAGTTGAATAAAAAACAGTCAAACTACTTGTTGGTACTATAAGACAATTTGAGGAATACTGATTGGGAGAATCTAGTTATGAATTTCAATCCTTTATAAACTCTACCATCAAAGAATCTGTGTTTTATGTTTTTTATTAGTGGGAAGTGAGATTTAAATCAAATGCAATGCCATAAAAATGTACCTGAAAGTATAAACTTCTTAAATTTAACAAATATAGATCTGATGTTATCATAGACCTGTGTTTGATATAACTTCTTAAAAACAATGTTTGAGCATGCCTACTTTTAACATCATTTACCTTTTGATATGATTTTTGCAGTATTTAGACTTGTTTTCTATTTTCCATAGAAGAAGATAATACTAAGCTTTTCCATTTCCATATGTTTGCTCATGATTTGTTCTTAGTTTTTTTGCCAGTTATGCTCTTGGTTCACGTGGTATTGCTGTACCAGAACTCTTACAAACACCATGGAAACTGTTCTCACTATAATTGCTCTTTTCTACTATCCTTTGGAAGGGTCAAAGTCTATGAACAGGTGAGATATATTACTGTTAATAATTATGTACAAAACTCTAAAGCCCTCCTTTGAAAACTCTTAAATATCAACGTATTGTAATGTTCAGTAGACCCCCTAATGTTCATAAAGGTTATTAAAACCACAGATTTTCAGTTGATATATTTGTTGTATCAGGAAACAGGTATACTCCAACTGAGTAATTAAGGAGAGTTTAATAAAAGGACCGTTTACAAAGGTGTAGACAATATTTAGCAAAGCCAATAAGGGGATACCATAGTACCCCAGGGCTACTCACAGCAACAAGTTTCTATTACCCCTTGGCCACAAGAAGCAAGGAGAAGAAACTGTTACTGGAATCCATACAGAGCTGTAACTTTAAGAGAGAGCCCCAACAGGAGATAGGCACAACCAGCCTTTAGCTATAGCAGGGGGAAAGGGGGGGATAAAATACCCTGATTGAACTCTCCTGTTCTCCAATTAGTCAAAGCCAAGCAGAAGCCAGAAAGCAAAATAGCCCATTGATATAGTCCATACAGGTCAGCCTCCCTGCACACAGAGCAGGTAAAGAGTAGAGGAGAATGGATCAGGAAGGACAAATAGAAAATATATGGACCTGATTTGGGCTTATATAAACTGGAGAAGCAAATACCAAGCAAAGGAAACAACATGAGCAAAGGCACAGAGCTGTAGAAGGGCTTCATTGTATTCTGGGCAGGTTGTCTAGAGAGCTTGTGTGTGGTATGCTGCATGGGAGAAGAGAAGAATAAGGGATAAGGCTGTAATGGGACTTGGGCCTTCTCCAGAATTTGGACTTTATTCTCTAGGTAGTAGGGAACCATTGGAGGCGTTTGAGAAGGATGACATAATTAAATATGATTTAGAAAGAATTCTCTTGTAGTAGCAGTATTTAGGATATACTGAAAGAGAGAAAACCAGAAAATTTGGGAGTCTAGTGAAGAATCTAGTATCCATTCTTCCTATATAAAACAATTGTTAGGAGGATCAAATCAAATAAGATCATTTCTGCATTAGACTCTTGACCGCAAGACTAAGCATTCACTTAAGTTACCTATTGATGAGGACTTTATAAATAAGGAAAATACATATCTTAGCCTTATGGCCAGGCCTGGAAGAAACTGTAGAATATCTCAGCCATACAAACGAATTGGAAGGCTACACAGAACCCCAGGCAGTTTTGAGGCACGAGCTGTTTTGTTGTGCCTTTACTGTCCAGTCTGTGAATCCCTGTTGTAGTGGTCCATCATTTTGAGGCTTAGCTAGTCTCTGTTCACTTCTATTCTCGCTACCAATTGCCCAACTTCCTCTGTATCTCATACTCAATTTGAGAGAATCTGATTAGGTCTGTTAAATGTCATTGTCCCTATTTGGACATAGCTTTAACACTGGCCAGCCTTAGATTGGGTGCCTGGGCTCAGATGCCCTCCCCTGATTCAGTCAGGAAGGGAGGATCACGTGGGACAAAGGACTGCTATATAAGCATTCTTTCCTGGATAAGCATGACAAGTACAGGTCCTGCCCTGACAATAAATAACACTTTGCAAACTCCTTTAAAAATGCAAATATTATAAATGAAAGATTTCTTTAAGGATAGTATGAGAACATCTAAGCACTGATTTCTGTAAAATGAGAATAAGAAAACAGCTGTCATAAGAATTAAATGAGAATCTATGGAAAGTGTATAGCACAGGGCCTATTACAAAGTAAGTGCTCAGTAAGTATCGATGATGACAGTGATGTTGTTGTTAAGTAAAGGAATATTTCTGGGCAATACAAAAAGAAGACGACAACAACTATGAAAAGATTCCAGACAAGTGACACAACTACAAAAAGATTCCAGACAAGTGACAGGACTTGATGTAAAATGATGGAAGTGGGAAGGGGAAGGAAACAGTGGATGTGTGGGATGAGATGTGCTATTTAAGAGGTCTCCAAAATTTTTAAGACTGAGAAACTGAGTGATACTGTTAACTTAAATACTAGACACTGAGCAGGTTTGAGGAAAAGAGACACTTTGATTCTGAGTGCCAGTAAGAGATCTATGGAGAAATATTCAGAAAGAAGTAAGAAATCCAAGTCTGAAAATTTGGAATAAGGTTAGGATTAGAAATATACATTTGGGCGTCCTCTATGTATTTCACTATAGCACAAGTTGCATTTAGGCTGTCTGCAAGTCAGACCAAGCCACAAATATGTTTTACTTCACCTGCACAGTGTTTTTTTAAAAAGTAAACTACTTGGCAAGGTTTTTAAATTGGGAGATCTTACATAAAATCTGGATTTCTGGTTTCTCTTGAAAAAATGGTCAGCTAGCAACATTTTGGACCAGGATTCCTTCATGACAATATCAGAGCCCCCACATGGCCTACATAACTCATTTTTATTACTTATTTGGTCTCTGCAAGACTTTGAATTTGAAATCCCTGCTATTACATCCTCACCAACATTAGAAATTTCTTTATAGTTACTTATTAGTTAATAGGTATATAATGGTACCATAAAGTTGTTTTATTTTGCTTGCTTTCAGTTTTTAGCAGGGTTAGGTATATTTCCATGTGATAATTTACTGTCTATAGTCCTCATGATTAAATTATCAGATAATCTCCTTCAGCCATTTATTGAGAGAAGTCCTAATAGTAAAAATTCGCATTTCTATCCATGATCATATAGGTTTGTATAGTAGGCTTTTTATCATTTGTACATATACATCTTTCACTTGGTTAAAATTAGCAGCTTACTTTCAAAACAAAATTATATGTACCCAGAAGCCCATCATTGCCTAAATAATCCTGTTTCTTTAAACGTGCTTGGCTTTTGTTCTTAGAGAATGGTTTTGTGTGGCTTTCTTTTATCTCCTTAGGAGAGACTTGATCATTTTTTCATCAGGAAAGCAATTGGCAGAGTTGTAATGTTAAAAGTGTACCTTTCAGCAAACAAGACCAACATGAAGACATAGAATAACTATTTGAAAATACTAGAATTAGGATATTAAGAACTGGAGAAGACCTTAGATATTACCTCTTTTTATGGATGAAAAAAATTAAGAGCCAGAAGGTATGAGTAACTTGCCCAAGTTCACATAGTTATTTATACCAAAAGGAAAATGCTCTCATTTTTTTAAAAAATGTTATATCACAGTGTAAATAGTAGATAACTTCTAAACTCATTTCCTAGTTGTCTTAACAACACATTTTCCTTGCTTATAGTGTCAAGTACTCATCCCTGGTGGCACTTGCCTTCATAATTCGTCCCACAGCTGTCATTCCATGGATACCTTTGCTCTTCAGACATTTCTGGAAAGAACAGAGAAAGCTTGATCTTATTCTATATCAGTTTTTACCTGTAGGGTAAGTATGACTATAATCCATTAATTTTAATAACCTATAAATTATAGCTTCTGAACAAGATTTTATATCCTTTAGTCAATTATACCTTCTAATGTCAGAATTGTCAGACCAAGGAAACAGAATATTTCCAAATTTATATATATATATATTTTTATATATATATATATATATATACATTATTTTTTTTTTTTTGGTGAGGAAGATTCACCCTGAGCTAACAACCGTTGCCAGTCTTCCTCTTTTTTTTCTTTTGCTTGAGGAAGATTAGGCCTGAGCTAACATCTGTGCCAATCTTCCTCTATTTTTTATATGTGGGTTGCTGCCACAGCATGGCTGATGAGTGACAATATATAGGTCCGTGCCCAGGATCCAAACCCGCAAACCTGGGCCGCTGAAGCAGAGCACACTGAATTTAACCACTACGCCATGGGGCCAGCCCCCCAAATTTATATTTTCTATTTATGATTTTGAATAACTGTATTTTAACTTGCTTAAATGAGGATCTTTGCAGTTTTTCTTGGAACTTTCCTATGCTTTATTTCCTAAATATTTCTCAAATACAATTTAGAGATACTTGATTCTTTTATATTTGTATAGGGCTTTATAATTTATAATGTGTATTCATATATTTCCTTATGATTTTCATAATTCTTGGATCTAAGCAATGTAGGTGTTTTTATTTTGTAGTTGAGGAAACAGAGGACTTGGTGAAATTAAAAATGAGTTAGCCAGAGTAACTGGGTTGGTTGCTGTGATGGAACTGGGATTGAAACCCAGGTCTTCTAACTACAGTTTGAGCTCCTGGGATCAGATTTATCCCACGTATCTAGTAGAGTATCCAAAATAGTTACTTACTGAAGGGATGAATGCATTCTGACTCTTAGAACAGTGATCTTTTTAATATACTAGTATTCACTCCGTACAAGTATTTTTTGGAAGCCATTAAAAAGGAGAAAATCATCTGGTGGCTAAGTTGCCACTGTTTTCATTTCTCAGATTTATTAATATTATTTTGAATTTATTACATTAATTCAGCAAATATTTATTTAATCTGTCAGGTGCTGTTCCAGATGCTAGAGATACAGTAATTTAACAAAACAAAGTCATTGCCTTCATGAAGTTTACATTCTAGTAGGAGGAGACAGACAGCTAAAAACACATGACTAATATATATTTATCAAGTGACAATAAGTGCTATAGGAACAAATAATGAGAGCCTTTAGATGAAACTGTAGTCCCAGCCAACATCTTGACAATTCATTAGAGACCTAGAGCCTGAGCGACTAAGCTGTGCCTGGATTCCTGACTCACAGAAACTATGAGATAATAAATGTTCGTAGTTTTAAGTTGCCACATTTTCAGGTAATTTGTTTGCAGCAATAGATAATATAGTGTTTGTTAATTTTAAGAAGGTTGCTTAAATATAGCTTCTGTCAATGAAAGATCTTTCAAAATGTGTAAATTCATATTCAATTGGTGAAATCGTAAAGCATTTTTAAAGTGGCTTTTGATGCAAGGCACCTGCAAAGCTATATGCCAATATTGGATTTCCAGTAAGTTCAGAATGTTAATCACTCTTCTATTTTATTTTGTTTTTCAGATTTGTGACTTTGAGTTTGTCTCTGATAATTGATCGTATTTTTTTTGGTCAAGTAAGTAAAAAGACATTAAGCTAACAGCTGTTTTTAATCTAACCATTACACTAAAAACTTAACCTGACTTTTTTTTTTCTTTTGGTGAGGAAGATCAGCCCTGAGCTAACATCCATGCCAATCCTCCTCTTTTTGCTGAGGAAGACCAGCTCTGAGCTAACATATATTGCCAATCCTCCTCCTTTTTTCCCCCAAAGCCCCAGTAGATAGTTGTATGTCACATTTGCACAGCCTTCTAGTTGCTGTATGTGGGACGTGGCCTCAGCATGGCTGCAGAAGCGGTGCGTCGGTGCATGCCCGGGATCCGAACCCGGGCCGCCGGCAGAGGAGCGCGCACACTTAACCACCAAGCTACGGGGCCGGCCCTTAACCTGACTTTTTAATCGATGAATATTTGGGAACACAGGCATATCATTTTTTAAAAGTGATATGGGATACATTAAAAAAAAACTACCAGCATATGCCTTTGGTTCAATTTGCTGTGCTTTCCATGTAACAGAACTGTGATTTCCTAGTTGAAGTTCAACAGAGTCCATTTTAAAAATTTTTGTCAGGTTTGTAAAAATAAAGGTTAAATTTTTAAATGATTTTAGTTGACCTCAAGTTAATCATTCAGAATTCAAATTAACCAGCATACTCTATTCTTCAAGCATTTGGTTTGACATTTTAATCTCATGACTGTTGGTGATGGCCTTTGGTTTCTAAGTTCCCTGTTTTTAAGTCACATATGGGCTCTGGAATCAGACTGCCACAGTCTAAAGTGCAGTGTCCTCATTAATAGCTGTGTGACCTTGGATAAGTTTTGTACCTTTCTTGCCAGTTTCCTTATCTGGAAATAATTGTAGTACCTGTCACATAAGGTTGGAGGATTAAATGAGATAATGCATATAAAATGCTTACAAGCACAAGTGAGCACTTAATGTTAACTGCTGTTGTTGCTGCTGTTATTATTATCTGCTTTGTGCTATAATTCAAATTGTAATGTTTCAAAGCTTTATCTTAAAAGGTAATGTGTGATATCATAAGGTACTAGAGTAAAATTTTTAATATGGGTACCACACGCACACTTTCGTAACTATTATTTTTAAGGATTCTCTTTATCTCTAATTGTATGTTAAACTTTCCTTGTCAAAATATGTATGAACATTTGTTCATATTTTGTTGAGTCTCAAAAACCTAGTGTTTTACAAATTAACAAAGAACACACTAATACTTAGAACATAAAAAATTAATAAAGAATGATTTCATATGGTCATTAATCAAAATTATTAATGTAAACTATTGTCTGGTTTTTAGACATCATTTCTGATTTAATGTCACAATTCTGCCAGATTCCCTAATGCCAAAGATTCATACTTGGAACTAACGCATTTCTATTTCTCTTTCCTTCAATTATGTCAGTGGACTCTGGTTCAATACAATTTTTTGAAATTTAACGTGCTACAGAATTTGGGAACATTTTATGGTTCTCATCCATGGCATTGGTACTTCAGTCAAGGATTTCCAGTTGTCTTGGGTACTCACTTACCCTTCTTTATTCATGGCTGCTTTCTAGCCCCAAAGAGGTACCGGATATTTTTGATGACTGTGCTGTGGACACTGTTAGTTTATAGGTAAGATTTTATTTGTTCAAGTAGTTAATTTTTTTTAATGTTACCAAGAAATTAGATTAACTAAATTCTTTTAAAAGTAAACTGCTTAGGGACTGGCCTAGTGGTTAAGTTCGCACACTCCGCTTTGGCGGCCTGGGGTTCACAGGTTCGGATCCCGGGTGTGGACCAACCCACTGCTTTGTCAAGCCATGCTGTGGCAGTGTCCCATATAAAACAGAGGAAGATGGGCACGGATGTTAGCCCAGGGCCCATCTTCCTCAGCAAAAAGAGGAGGATCAGCAACGGATGTTAGCTCAGGGCTGATCTTGCTCTCACACACACACAAAAAGTAAACTGCTTATCTTTTGGAGATGCATCAACTCTTATGATTTATTAGTGGGGATTATTTAGCAGACAGAAAAGGTTGTAATTATGCTAGTGATCAGATAGAATGAATACTTCTGATACGTATAGTTTGCTTAAGGAATATATTCAGTTTTTAAAAAGTTGAACAAATTTTATTTACTTTTAAAAAACAGAAACTACCAAAATTTTAAGTATTGAAGGAATAGAGAAGAAATATTTTTAAATGAAAATGTATGTATCTTTATTCCAAATTTGAGTAATATGACTTACTTGTATTGGTAATAGAAATTTCTTTTTTAGAATGTAATTGTACTTTAGAATTTCACATTGACATTAAATGTTTGTTAGGATTACTTTTAACACATCATCATCACCTTATAACTAAAAATAATGAAAGTGATTCCTGAAGCATGAAATTCAGTCTCAGTACTTAGAAAAACAGATGTTAATTATATTTCATTTTATACACATTAATTTCTCAAACTATCATGTCATATGAGAAAATAATATTTCCTTTTAATATTTTTTTTATTATAGCATGTTGAGCCACAAAGAATTCAGGTTTATCTATCCAGTTTTACCATTTTGTATGGTGTTCTGTGGTAAGTATTTTTGTTTAATATAGAAAAAAATTATTTATATAGAAATAGTTAAAAGACAAATGCTCATTAAACTCTAAAATATTATTTATTTTCACCTGGGCTAAATAAGAATTGCTTCTTAATTACAAATTATATTACTGCAGTATTCCCTTTTTGCAGCCTAAAGATCCTTTTTCCTGTGTCCTGTAAAGTGAGATAAAAACATAAGGATCTAATATCCAAAGCACCTTTTGGTGGTGGTATTTCTGGCTGTTAGAAATCTTTTATTAAAAAGTAATGGAATATGTCTGTTTTAGAATAGCTATTTTAAGTTTATGGTTAAACTATGAAGTTCTTCATTCCACAAATGACAAATATATTTATAGCTGTTGAAACTAATTTTTAATGCTTTATACACATCTACCCCTTTAAAACTCACTTGAATGCATATAGAATTTTTAAAGTGATTCACACCTCTGATTTTATTTTTGGCCTTTTCTCCATTTTTCCACCTTTGCAATAATTTTTTTACATGTGACTTTTAAAAAGTCTTATTACTCAGCTCTGGAAATATGAATTTTTACATTAGTTGGTTTGGAAAACTTATGAATTGAAACTTTATTAACTTCAAGTTTGATTCAGAACAAATAACTGCTGGCTTCCTTCAAATATTAATCACTAAAAAATCATTGGATTGGGGAAGGAAGGAATGAGTAATCAACTGGGACTGGAGGCTGGGAAAAACTAGGGACTTAATGATATCAAACTTTTTACTTTAAAAAAAAAAAAAAAAACTCCAAACAACCCATTGAGTTAAGCAGCCTTCTTTGACCAAGTATCCATCATATCTCAGATGTATGTACTCTCTTCAGTTTAAATACAAACATACACATCTATATATTTGATATATCTGAAGTATTGAAACCAAAGTCAATTTGTGTCATTACTTAATAGTATTACTTCATATACAAATGCAGGCACATATAAAAATATAGGCATCTAACAGCTATTTGACAAGTCTTAAGTATAGTGAGCCCATTTACCAAAGAAAATCTGTTCATGAATGAGTATTCAGATTTTAAAATGTTCTTTTTTACAAGCACTTGAGTTAGAGTTATAATGAAATCCGGTTTGCCATGTTTGGTTTCTGCCAGGCTACTGGAGGGCGCGTGCGCGTGTCTGTGTGTGGTGTTCTAGAGAAAGACTGAGTCCTCTTGTGTGTGTGTGTGTGGTGTAATAGAGAAACACTGAGTCCTCGTGTGTGTGTGTGGTGTTCTAGAGAAAGACTGAGTCCTCGTGTGTGTGTGTGTGTGGTGTAATAGAGAAAGACTGAGTCCTCGTGTATGTGTGTGTATGTGGTGTTCTAGAGAAAGACTGAGTCCTCGTGTGTGTGTGTGTGGTTCTAGAGAAAGACTGAGTCCTCATTCCCACTCCAAAAGATTGAATCTTTTAAGTGCCAGGATCCTGGTAACCCCTTGCTTCCCTTCCCCAAGACTGAGATAGAATGCTGGTGAGGGACGAAGAGATCCTCTTCTAATGGACAAGAATCAGCCTTTCTTCCATCTGGTATCCACTCAGAGGGATCTCTAAAGGACAGAGACCTAGTGAAACCCCTGATCTTCTCACAGGACGTGATCTCCTCCTCCAGGCACATATACCTAAGGTTCTTGAGTGAGCCAAAGGATTCTGACTCCCAGGAGACTTATACTTCCACTGAGTCAGAACTCTTTAATGCCAACAGGTTCCAACAATAGGACCAACTAAGTAATGAGCTCACCTAGGCAGAATGGATATTCAGGAATGACATAAGACAACAGTTCTCTTTGGTGTTCTTGATCTTTTAAATGGCCTAGTTTGAGTCTTTTCTAACTACCTGAAATCTTGAGTTATATTGTACCTCAAATCTCAGTTTTATTCTATTCTTGTGTGACCTATTTTAACCTTTTATATAAACATGACAACTCTATCAGCAATTGCTGTATAACAAGCCATCATAAAACTCGGTGGCTTAAAACTCCATTTATTATTATTTACAAGTCTAGTTCAACTGGGCAGTTCTTGTCGTCTCCACTGAGTCACTTACGCAAATATGACCAGCTGCAGATGAGGTAGACAGCTCAATTGACCTAGACTGGACTCTCATGTGTTTAGGGTTCAACTGGCTATAGACCAAGGTACTTCAGCTCTTCTGTTGCTCTCATTCTCCAGCAGGCTAGCTGGGGTTTGTTCACTTGGTGTAGTCAGAGTTCCAAGACAGGGAGCAGAAGTGTCCATGGCTCAAGCATGGAATTGGCACAGTTACTTCCACCACATTCTTTTGGTCAAAGCAAGTCACAAAGCCAGGCTGGACTCAAGAGATGAGAGAGAAACTTGAGGTTCGTGTAGGGATTGGACACAAGAGGAATAACTGCGGCCATTTTTTCAATCTACATTAACTTCTTTTGCCTAATTTGAATTTCCCTCAGTCCTATCCAAAATAGGACTTACTCTAGAAAACATACCTTCTGTAACTGGCTCTGATCCTTAGTGAACTGTATAACCTTGTGCCTCAGTTTCTTTATCTATAAAAGAAAGGTGCCATTGGTCTAGTAACACTGGAATTCTTAGATTGAACCTGTGTCATTTGTGCTGATAATGTTTCCAGCACCTGCTACTAACTCTGGGTTGGGTGTCTGCTTAATCTGTTTTTACCACAGTGGCTAATGTAGACTTGCTTGTCTCTGATTAGGCCGCTTTGTTTTTCCCTATGCTAGTCTTTTTTTATCAAAATTGCACAGGCACATTGTTTCAAAAGTCATTCTATATGGAGTTTGTTTTAAAAAACAATGGTCCTCCTGCCTTCCCTCCAATTTCCCCTCCCTAGACACAAGCACTTATACTCTTTTAGGTGGTTTTGATATTTATCTCTCTATGAAAATAAAATGCTAATAATGTCCCTTAAAGATCTTTGTTTTTGGCACTACCTACTGACTTCAGACTATGAAAGATGAAAATATAGCTTTATTTCCTCAGCAAAGTAGCAACATAAAATTCTTCCTGATACCTCCATCTGTGCCCAGTGCTCTCTTTTGGTTCTTAATAGTTTTAAAGTCTCACTTCCCCAGGCCCATTCTCCTGTACCTCCCATTCCAGAATTAAACCACCCTTTGTTTTTCTCATATAAATACTGAATTTAAGTTGACGTAAGTAACAGCTTTCCCAAGGAGTATTTAAAAATGAAAAGGTTAACTTGGAAGTATCTCTAGTTGGTAGAACTTGGTAGAGACTTTTTTCTTGGGTTTTCTAATAATTCTTGCCAAAGCTAAGACGCATCCTTGCTACACCTCAGTGTTTGATGGGATCAGTCATGTACAGCCCCCAACTTTCCCACCCTCTCCATTACAATGAATCTTACCTTGGTAAGAAGGAACTCATCAGTCATTGCTGAAGAATACAGATTATAACACTAAATATACAAAACTTAAAAAGTGATTGGGCATAGCAAGATAAATAACATGATGATTAGGAGATATGGCCAAGTAAAGAAGGAACCAACTCACGAAGGGCCTTCTTATATACTCAGGTTTCTAGATTTTATCTTGGAGAGTAGTCAACTGGGACATAATGGATTTAAAAGACTTTTTTTTAACAGTAGTCTGATGAGAGTGAGTTGATAAGAACCCAGTGTATTTTTTATTATAAAAATACTCATGGACAAAAAAAAAAACAAACCACAATAGTGTCATCATGTAATCATCTGGCCCCACTTCCCAGAGATAATTATCACTTTCTTATAAATTCTTGCAGAAATTTTCTATATACCCTCCTTTAAGTATCTTTTTGTAGGCCCAAATAACAGGAGCAAATTAAATATTCTGGAATGTTATTTAGCGTTGAGTTACTAAGAGCTACTGTGTGAAATGAAGGAGCCTCTATTCTGACAAGTAGTCACTGGGGTTCATACTGAGTCTTTGTTCTCGTGGAAATTACACGAGAGGCTGAAAGAGTTCGGTAAGTGGTTTATAGGACAGATAGAAAATTTGTGTTCCCAGAATCTTCAGTAATTGGGAGGGGCATCTCATATTTCAGTTAGGTAATGCTTACATTACATGGGGTAACTATCCCTTTCTGAAGCTAGCTCATTTTAGGGTGGATCCTTTCAGTGAGAACTGCATCTCCATATTATATGTACAGTTAAGTAGACTTAGTGGATGGCAGCTACTAGGATCTTATTAATTACCTCTTTTAAATATTGAAGAAACCATACTGCTTCCCTGTAAGCAACCCATGGATTCTAGGCTTCTCTTGTGACTCAGTCTAACCCTGCAGCTGTCATGTATTTCCAATTCTCCCTTTAGCAACTCCAGTTTCTGAAATCCCCTTGGGAAACTTTTCAATATCAGATGATATGAAAACCCTCAGTCTTCACATTCAAGACTGTTCCTTCTCTCCCCAGCATTTTCTTTATATTATTTTTCCAAATAATATGGCGATTCGGTTCTCACTGAAAGAATCCATCCTAAAATGAGCTAGCTTTAGAAGGTGAAAACTACCACAAAGTAATGTAAGCATTATCTAACTTGCAAGAGCCCCCTCAGCACTGAAGAAGCTGGGAATACAAGCACGTTTTCTTCCAACGTTCTACTCAGACTGCCATTTTTACAATATTCACCACCATGTATTCCAGTTTTTTATCAGTCACCCATACCATTGTATCCCTAAATGCCATAGTTTCTGATAAAACTTTCAATGAACATTTATTGAATAAACAAATTTTGTTAATGAGTGAACCACTTTACAGATGCCCACATTATACTTACTTGAATATTCTTGAGAGCAAGTCATCTCCTAAGGCCTTGGCAGGGTAGGCTTTAATGTAGCTTTTTGTAATCTGAGCCCAGTAGGTAGTTTCAGTTTTTGCCTGTCTACCCAAGGAAGCACTTCACTTCTGAGTTGTATTTGCTAGTCTGTCATATCTGTGACTGGAAATATTACAGATGGCAGAACTTTTAGAATCCCATTTCAGTTCTAATAAAGCTAATTTTAGTTCTCATGCTCTTTAGTAGGTTCCTCATTTTACAGTTTCAAACATCTTATAAATTGAGATTTGTTTTAAACGTAGGCTTAATTTTCTTGATCTACCTACTTTTTAATCACACCACTTTTCAGAATGTTCTTTGGTTAATCAGCAGTTTCAAGGTCTACTAGGTGAGATGGATATGTGATATTCCAACTACTGAATGGAATGAACTATAGGTAATGTTATCTAAAATATTCAGAGGAACAAAATTGAGCATCTAAGATTTCTTGCCCAAATTTGATTTCAGCTATCAAGTGGCAGGTATCAGATGTCTTAAAATAGATGAAATTATTATTTTCAGTCCATTTTATAATCTTCAAAGCAATTAATACAGATTAAGGAAAAGTTGTAAGGGCGGCATAGCTAATTAAGAAACATTTAAGTATACAAAGAAAGGTATCTTCAGTATTTCCAAAACTGAATGTTAATGCATACAGCTTTTTAATTTCTAACAATGCGAAGTCGAGAGAATGAGTGTCTTTGGTTGGTGTCAAGTATTAGATGTAATTCAAGTGAGTTATAAGTCTTGATTTATTCCTATTTTACTTTTGAAACAGTCCTTCCTAGGCCAACTTTATGTCAGTGTAGTTAAATGGGAACAGTTCAAGATTAATTTTATTCATGTTCAATTATTTTTAGTGATTGAGCCGAGCTAAGACAGCTGATAGCAGTCAATTAGGTAATGGTTATGGAAAACAGTGCCTTGGCCCTAGTGGGAATTAGTGCTAAAATTTCAGACAGGCTCCATCCAATTTCAGGATCCATCCAATTTCAGATTGGATCCTGGATACCCAAATTCCAAAAGAACTATTATCTAGTTCTGTGGAAGCAGTACATATGGAGTGTGAACAAAATGTCAAGGAAGTTTACTAATCAACTTCTTCTTTTATCCTAATGTGCTCATTATCAGTGGCTATTCCTGTGGAGTAGGACTATGGGAGGGAACAGGGACTTGTACTTTTCATTTACCCTTCTGTTCTACTTGGTTTTTTGTTTTTTGCCACATGCAAGAATTACTTCTACAAATTAAAAAAGAAAAATTTTTCAGCATCTCCAAATTGACCAACACTATAGTGAAAGAGAAAAAAAAATGATATAGGTCCTCTTCTTCCAGAAAAAGAGGTCCATGCCACCAGACATACTGACCATTGAAAATCTCCCAGGAGCCCAGTGGTTTATTTTTCTAAGAGAACACTCTGTTATACTTCCTCCAGAATTACTGAGACTTGTATGTACACAATCCATTGCTAGAGATGAGAGAAAAGTAAATGGAATAAATAAAAGTTCTATTTATTTAGCACCTACTATGCACCAGGATAGGCACCAGACATACATTTTTCCTAATAGTTCAAAAAGGTACTGTTATCCCATTTGCAGATGGAGAAACTAGATGCTCAGCAAAGTAAAGCAACGTGTGCCAGAGCCAGAATTCAAATCTGGGTCTGTTGGACTCCCTAGCCATCATCTTTCCATGATACCTCAATTCCTTTTTCTATATAAAGGTCAAGACCTGGATGACAATAGACAATGATACTGAAGGGTCAGAAAAATTATAAAGATGACCTATTGCTTATTTCTTGTTTGTCCATAACAGCATTACAGCTTGTGCTACTTCCATAACAATTACAAGTGTATTTTCAGTTAACACTTGCTTAGCTATAAGAAAACAAGATTGCCAGTATTATGATTCAATGTGTCTATCTTCATATAGGGTACTCACTAAACCACCTGAAAACGTGGAAGAAACCAGCTCTGAGTTTCCTGTTTTTATCAAATATGCTCCTCGCCCTCTATACTGGTTTAGTTCATCAGCGAGGTACTCTTGATGTCATGACTCATATTCAAGAACTCGGTTACAACAATCCTAATAAATCTTCAGCTTCAGTATTTGTAATGATGCCTTGCCACTCCACTCCTTATTATAGGTAATAAAAGTTGCTCCACTGTATGCTATTATTAAGAAAATGAAACTGACTACCTTAAAATTCCTTTCAGATTCCTGGATTTAAATTGATCAAATGATTATAAGAAATTTGAAACTCCTATTCATATTTATTCACTGATGAATTTTAAAAACCATTTGAACTATATCAATGAAAATCATATACCAATTTTTTTTTTTTTTTTCTGTGAGGAAGCCCTGAGCTAACATCCATGCTAATCCTCCTCTTTTTTTGCTGAGGAAGACCGGCTCTGAGCCAACATCTATTGCCAATCCTCCTCCTTTTTTCCCCCAAAGCCCCAGTACGTAGTTGCATGTCATAGTCGCACGTCCTTCTAGTTGCTGTATGTGGGACGCCACTTCAGTCAGCATGGCCAGAGAAGCAGTGCGTCGGTGTGCACCCCGGATCCGAACCTGGGCCAACCGTAGCGGAGCGCGCGCACTTAACCGCTAAACCACAGGGCCGGCCCAATATACCACTTTTAAATAAACTTTAATAGTTTCAAAAATTTAAACAACTTACATTTAAATGATCTGATTTAAATGTAACATAAAATATTTTATATGTTATTTGATGGTATTCTTAGTAAAGAAATTCGGTTATCACTGATCTTACTACAAATCTTTGTGATACATCTTATATTTATATAATTTTAAATTAATCTCAAAACACTGGACTCTAGTCTAGATTTACTACTGGATTGTTGCCCTGGTCCTAAACCAGTCCTTTCAATCTCTTTGGATATCAGTTGTCTCGCCTGTAAAAATTAGGGAATTCAATTAGATGATATCCTACTGCTTGAATTAAGTGTTCCTGGGAAGTGTAACACTGAAACTGCCTTAACTATGCAGGGCATTTAAAAAGACATCCATTTGGCCCTATGTGTGTATTTCAGGAAGTTGGATAAGTTACCAGTTGCCCAATAACAGTACAAAGGCAAAGCAAACAGCTTTCCTTTAGAAAATTCTACACCTATTTAACTTAATCTGGCTTCAAACAATCTGAAGTTAATTTTCCAACTTAATATCAAATGTGATATTATTTTAAGGTAACTTAATACTTTTGGAATACTCTACTTAACTGAATCATTAATGCCAATCATTAATACATAATTTGGAAAATTGGGATTGCCTAGCAACAGCCACAGGTTAAATGTAAGACCCCAAGACCCCAAGTGTCTCTTCAACTTGAGCTTCTTCTACTTTATAAAAAAGACTAGAGCTGAGAGAAGGACATTCACTGTCCCTCCATGCTCACAACACTGCAGAGAACAGGAATTCTAGAGGTACTAAGATGCTTTCCATAGTTTACCAAGTTCTCATCTTATATTTTTTCAGAGTGCACAAGGGAGCAAAAAACGTCTGATGCCTACTTTGGAATATAAGGCTGTTAGCTTTTTCTCAGCTCTTTCTGCTTTCCCCCTGAAGCAAGACCTTCATCTCCAAAATTATAAAAGTCATGTAGTATTAGGTCTTGTGTAAATTTACTTTGTATGCATTTCAGAGATAAACCTCTATCGCATATTTATTTTTATTTTTGCTGAGGCAAAGTTATAAATATGGCTTTTTGCATGGCCCAAGTAACTGGTTCAAGTTGTCATAATTCATCAATCCCTCTCTTTCACATACACTCTAGTCTTTCTGTTACAATAAACCCATTACTTATTTGGGTGTTAATCAGTGAACATATGTTGCTATTACTAAATCTTATATAAACATAAAAGAACAAAAAAACAAACACAGGAGAAACTCATTTAAGGATGTGATCCATCCCCTTTCAGAGAAGAAAGGAAAGACAGAAAGAATCCTTTCTGGTTGATGACTAGTTTTCTAGTTTCATGACTTATTTTCTTGCCAAATAAGCCTATGGGGAATTACTCTCCTATTAACAAGTAACCTACCTGGTCCCAAAGGCCTATTACATTTCTGGTACAGCATACTAACGTTAGAGAACATTGCGTCCCCCAAGCTGCTGACCTACTATCCCATCTTGAAATGGAGTTCATGCTTTTGTTGGGACTTGTAGGTTATGCTGCTGCTGCACAGGTACATGATGTGAGAAGCATATTCTCCATCTTTGAGAAAACTGCATTAAAGGCTTGCTTCCTCACCGTAATTGGAACGCAGTTAAGATTCAGATTTTACATTTTAAATGAACATCTTAAGTATTTTAAGAGTACTTGGAAAACTTTCATAATTTTTTTTACTTCTTGTACCTACAATGGTAACTTTCTCTTCACAGCCATGTCCATTACCCACTTCCAATGAGATTTCTCCAGTGTCCTCCAGACCTGACTGGAAAAAGTCAATATCTTGATGAAGCAGATATATTTTATCTAAATCCCTTAAACTGGTTGTATAAAGAGTTTCACAACGATTCAACATTGCCTACTCACTTGATCATCTTCAGCGTTTTGGAGGAGGTAAGGAAACATGAAAAAGGGAAAACTCAGTATTTTTATTTCACTTCAAGTTTAGCAAACACCCAGGTAAACAGACAACATAACTTTTTTATGGTCCCTTTCAACCCTCTTATTTTGTAATTGGTCTTTTCCCTAGTCAAAATCAGCCCCAGTTCTATAACTATCAAGGTATATATGTTACTTACCATGAGTTAATTCTTTTATTAAGAAAAAAGTTGTAGAGATGCAAATCAGAATAAGACATTCTAAAATTCTTGAAACAGTACTCAGCAGATTGTAGCCTTTATTTACTTAAACATTTATTTACTTCTAGGAAATAAGTGCTTTCCTAATTTCAAGCAACTATGAGAGAACTGCTGTTTTCTTCCACACTCAATTGCCAGAGGGTCGTACTGGAAGTCACGTATACGTCTATGAACGGAAGTTAAAAGGGAAACTCAACAGAAGATGAAATTCTGAACTGTGTTTAGATCTTTTCCAGAGAAATAGATATTGCTGGGTAGAAATATTCAGATGCTGTTTAAATACACTAGTAAACACTTGGGTAAGATTCATGGAACTAGCAAAAAACCACTATGAAGTGCTTTACCAAATATCGCTACTGAGGAAATGTATGAAAAATATCACAAAGTATAAAATTGTGTATTAATACAATGCCAAATTTTAAATAAAGACCTTTAGTTTTCCTCATGGTGTAGTTTTATTGTTTCTTCCACAATATTCAGATGTGCAAGAAATTTCACAAGAGAACAAGTCAGCAAGCTCTTAAGAAGGCAGCAAATTCTTCACAAGTCAACGGGCTCTTGAACTCACAAAAAGACAAGAAGCAAGTGTAAGGTTATAAAATGTTAAAGATGAAATTCCATCATAGTGTACTTTTTTCAAGCTCTACTGCAAATTCAACACAATATCAGTGTTAATTACACTTTGTCGTGTATGATTTGAGCTTGCTTTAAGCTCATACACTGAAAGGAAGTCTCATTTCATGCACAAAATGTGTTGCATGCCTGGCTTCCTTAATAAAACTACAGTTGAACATTTCCAGTGCCAAAAAAATTCAGCAAAGCTAAGCTACAGGAAAATGCAGGTTAGTAAGCTTTTGCTTGATGCTTCTGAGTAATAATATAAAGTCATCAAACTGATACTTAGAAATGATAAAAAGACATTGTTATCTTGATAATTTCATCTTAGTTTCAACACCAAACATTGTAGAAAGCATCCATGTTTTCTGTTACAGTTTTCTAATTTAACTTAATCATGATGATCAATATTTCGGATCAAAAGGTAATTGCCCCAATTCTATTTCAAGATTTGCCATGTGTCTTCCATTATTGCGACCATATTTATGCCATTTACCTTCCCTTTTATAAGGTTGTGGCTGAGGGTGCTTCTGCTCTTGTTTTCGATGCCTGGAGTTTTCAATATTTACCATACGTTGCTTTTTATCTGGTCGACTGAAAGCAGTAAACACATTTTTCATCTATGTTAGAGTTAAATTTATTTAAACAAGAAACAATTTTAATGTTTTTCTCCATTAATTATCTGAATACTCTGAAAAAGGATGTTAAATTAATCTGAAGTAAAATCCTAGTATAACCATATCAGAAAGATTCAGAGAGTATTACACTTTTATCCTATAGATTATAGAAAGAAAAAATACACAAACATAACTGTACTGGCAAAAGGGGGAAACACTCAAAAGATAACGAATAGAAATGTGACAATAAAATAATGAGATGTGTTTCCATTACTTGTCCTCCTTTCCTGTAAAAATCAGTCCCTCCCCATTGGCTTCATCCCTCAGCAGGAATATGTATACATCTCTATACATCTCTTACAAACAAAGTCTCTTTTTTTCTCTCCTACTACCAAGATTCATAAATAATGTCTACACTTACTGCTCTCCTCAATCTCTATAATCAGTCTTCTGTCACTACTTCACTGAAACAGTCCACAATACCATCCATGGCCACACATTCCCCAGCCAAGAAATCCAGTCCATTTTATTTAAAGCATTTGACACACTTACATAAATATTCCTTTTACTTGAGGTGATCTTTGGATTTTCATGATGCCACTCTTATTCTCAGCCTTCTTTCTCTACCACCCCTTAGATGTTGGTGTTCCCCAAGTCTGATAAATACCTCCAGCCTAGACTATCTATGCATACACAAACACAGTCTGGGCTAGAGAGACAGTCATATAACTAATGGCCAATTAATTCTCCCCACTTGGACGTCAACAGGTACCTCCAAGTACAATTCTCATGTCCAATTTCCCTTACCCAAAACCTGGTATTCCTTATCTTAGTGATAATCATTATCCAAATAGCAACCCAACCCAGAAATCTGGAAGTCCTAGTTACTTTCTACTTCTCTTTCACAAGAAATACCACCAATTTTATTTACTATATATTGTTCAAATCTGTCTCCTCCTTTCCACACCTACTGTTGTCCTAGTTTAGGGACTTATCAGCTCATGTCTACATTGTTTCAAAGACCACCTTCTAGCTTCTGGCTTCACCCTTGCCAACCAATCCTGCAGGCTGCTGCCAGTGATCCAAAATGCAATAAAGCAAGTCCTTTAGCATAAAATGAGGTCCTTCATGATCTGAATCTTCTATTCATACCCTAGCACTACTTTGCCTCCGTCAAGTGGCATGTCTTCACATCTCCAAATCTGTGCAAATGAAATTCCCTTTGAGTGGAATGTCCTACTCATCTGCTTGGCAAATTCTCATATCTCCTTCAAAAGCCAGTTTTAAAAAGTTCAGTTCAACGGCCACCTCACTCATGAAGCCTTCCCAAACATCTCCAGACTGAGGCCACCATATACAATATGGCTCCATACCTCCATTTTATTTCTTATATTTACCTAATTCTCCAAAAACTTTTGAGCTCCTTGTCAGTAAGAATTTTTCATTTGTTTCCTCAGGGCAGCCTCACAGTGCTTTGCTCATTATAGGCACTAGGTCTTTGTTTAATGACTAAAGACACCAAAATCAGTCTCATTATTTTATAGACACATTACATTTATTCATAAAGATATATATATATAACCATCTCAAAGGTAAAAAATAAAGCTAGTATTTGAAGATTGGGTGAGTTTCATGTTACAGAAAATAAAGCTAATAAGCAATGGATACAAAGTTATTTTTAGAAGTTATGTATGAAGCACACACAGAACTTGCGGCTTGCTAAGTTTGCCTCTTTGATCATGCCTCTACCTTTATCAACAATAATACTGTAATAAGTGTATTAAATATCATAATTAGTTGGTAAATGGAATAGACAAATGAAAATAAGTAGGACATCTGAATTGTTATATATGAGCTCTTCTGATTTCAGAGTGAAATCTGTATTGTTCACTCCTAGCTGTCCAAAGTGAGTAAATAAATAAAAGATTAAAGGAAAATAATTTCACTTAAGGTGATTATCTTTTCATATAAACTATAATGAAAAGAAACAAAACAGGATTTATAAATTCTTAACTGATTTTTAAGGTAGAAATTAAACCATTTGCTCAAGTCAAACTGATTATATGAAATTTTCAATTTGTAGTAACTATTAAAAATCGTATCTTTCAATTTATTATAAATTCTCTGGCAATAAAGTACTTTTACAAATAGTACTTTTTTTAACAAAAAGTACTTTTACAAATAGTAACATTCCAAGAAATTTATCAAATGATAAAAATGCTATCTAATCTAGAAATGTTAAAAACTATTATAATAACATGGTGCTATGTAAACCGACCTGGGTCCATATGGAGGGGGAAAAGTGTGACCAAAGAAGTGTCTATATATATATCCATCCAACTTCTCAAATATTCCATCATTATCTACTTGATATTCCTTCATGTCTTTAAGATAATCTTTAACATCATTAACAAAGTCAGTGAAGAGCTTCTGATCATGTATAAAGACACCATTTAGGAAAAACTTATTGATGAATTGATCGAGTTCTTTCCAATGATGAAAACTATCCAGTTTTTCTAATAAATACCTTTCAATTAACTGTCTAAATTCATCTATCCTTACAGGATTCAACAGTTTAATATTAAAAAGGTTAATGGATTCCTGTTGAGCACATTCAAATACACCAGAACAAGCCTTTCTGAAAGAATTATAATTTTCACTACAGTCATGCTCAGCACTGCATTTCTGTGAATTTGTATTTTTTCCAAATTCTTCAAAGTGAACTGGCTTTTCTTTCCTTCCTTCTCTTTGCATAGTAGGGCCTCTACTCCTCTGGTTTTGCGTACGTGCCTTATACTGCGGATGTAAATATTCACTGAAAACTGTTGGTTTTTTAGCTGCTGCTTCTTTTGTAGCACCAAATCTTTTATTGCCCTTTTCATCAAAGATATTCTTGGTGGTATCTTTGAAATGCCTGAAAGTGGATTTAACTGAATCTGAGAATTTTTTCAGATTTTCTTTCACAGCTTCTTTAGCCTGTTTAATTTTTTCTTTATGATGCCTCACAAACTCCTTGGTAGAATTCTTCATGGCATCAAATGTTTCCTTAACTGAGCCCAAAAATGTTTCCTTTGACTTATTTTTAGCCCTGTGGTTTCCTCTGCTCCCTTTCTTTTTTCCATCAGTCTCTTGTTTTCCATTTTGATCTTTTGCCTCAATATACAGTCTTTCCCACAAATCAGAACGCTGCTGTTCAAAGTTTAGCTTCCGCTCCAGCTCAGTGAGTCTTTCCCGTAAGATTTCTATTTCTTTTTTTTCAGTCAATACATCAGGAGAGTCTGGGTTGCCATATGACTGACTAGAACTTAACTGCTGGAGTTCCACCCTTAAAGCCATGGTTATTAGTCGTTCTCTCTCCAGTTCCCTCCTTAGCATCTTTGCTTCTGCCAAAAGAGTCTCCCTTTGATTAAGGAAGCTATGTGTTTTCAGCTTTTCTTCTTCCAAATGCTGCTTAAGTTTCTGATTTTCTGTAACTAATTCAGTACTTGTCCCTTTATCTTCCAATATTCTAATCTGTTCTCTTAGTTTCCTTAACTCTTCCTGCAGTGAAGATAAGGCTTTTTCTTCCTTCTCCAGAGATATTCTTAAATACTGATTTTCTGTATCAAGGTTCTTTTTCTGAGTTTCAAAAGTCATCTTCTCTGCTTCAGTAAGGGTCCAACACCTTGCAACGTTTTCCTTCAATGACTAAATTTTTTTGAAAAAGAAGAAAGCAACACGTGAAATGCTTTAAAAGCTGAATTTAAATCTTTAAGATAGGACAAATACTCCATAAATTTTTAGTCTATTTCTGCAGAGACTATCCTTATGTAGTATTTTAAATACATAAAAATTAGAAAATACAAGGTTCATATGCAAGAAAATGCATGGTAGAGAGCTATATCAAAGTAAGAACATAGCATGCTGGAAGAATTTAAAGACAGGAAAAGATTAGCTAGAGCTTGGTTTATCCCTAACAAGATTTTAAAAATAGAGATAGGGGTACTTCTGATTAGTGTTTCCCATAATCATTTGAAATCCTTACCTGTTTCTAGGCCCACTGACAAGTCAGGAGAAAAGGAGATAGGCCTATCTTTTGACTACAAGACTCCAATCTCCTGAGAAGGCTCCTAGAGAGAATTTAGGCAGAACTAAAGGCTTCTCTGATCCTTAGGTGAGGGAGATAATCTTTTATAAAGAGTAAAATTACAGCTAGAGATGACTTCAAGCTTCAAAAAATTGTTTATATTCACTGCACTCTTTGAAGCAAAAAAATTTCAATCATCTTAGTCCTATGAGAAAGATCTTAGTCCTACGTAAATTAACATCTCTGAGTAAGTTCAGGTAAGTCATACAAATTCTCCCACATTTTAGAGGACAGACTAAATCTTGCTAACATTTATAACTAATTTCTCCAATATCAAATAATCTTCTAAAGAGACCATGACCAGATTAGCAAGGTAACTCTGAAGTGAGCACCCTTGATAGAGAGAAATCATGTTCATTCAGGCTTACAGAATTTTGCTGCAGTTCAAGGTAGCCTTGAACAATCTAGTTTTTCTTTCAACACATGTATTAATAAAAAAACTTTAACCAAAACAGCAAGAAACTAAACAATATGCTTAAACAGGTTAATGGTTATAGCACTATCCAGTCAGTTAAAATATCTTATGTATAAATCTGCAAAATACTTAAATTTTTTGCTCAATTTACCACAGATATTAATCTTATTAGAAGATAAGATTATCATTAATCTTCAGAGAACAAATTAAAATGACTCAGTAAAGATCTATGCAGGGCAAGTATCCTAAGAGCCAACATCATCCTCTGGAACTAGAAACCATAGTGGTGAAGAAGAAAATAGCTCCTCTTTTTATAACATCATCTGATCAAGATAGGGAAAACTACACTATTTACAATTCACTTCAGTACTTCCTCCCTGAAAGATATAATTCAGATGTCAAGTGGGATTCTGTCTTCCAAAGAAATATAATCATAATCCTATAAGGGATACATACATATATTAAGTGTAAAGGAAATTCGGGGAAATGGAAGGAAAAAAGAGTTTACTTTTCTACCCTGAGTTTACCTATAATCCCTTCCTAGAGAAGAACTAGATAGGAGACCAACTATTTTGCTGGTCCTCATAAACCCACAAAGGTGTTAGGTAACTGGAAAGAAGTGACAGCACAGTCCTGTTGGAGCCAGATGTGTTTTAGGTAGGAAAGTATAACATGCTCTCTCTTTCATCAAAACTAACAAGAAGCCAGAGAAAAAAGGCTGGCTGATTATTTCCCTTGATCAAGGGAAGACCTAAAAGAGATTACAAACTCTCCTTCTCTTTCTCTCTTACTGAATGAAAATGTTTTGCTCAGCTCTGTAAAAATAACGTTAATAATAATGTTTTATATATATAATATCAATTAAAAATAATGTTAACTAGGGCCAGCCCTGGTGGCCTAGTGGTTAAGTTTGGCACGCTTCGCTTTGGCGGCCAGGGTTCAGTTCCTGGGCGCAGACCTACACCACTTGTCAGCAACCAT